CATACGAATTCTTCCTCAGGCGCACCGTGAAGTAAACTCCGGCAGAGAGCGTCAGCCATGTTTTCTCTGCCCTTTCTGTATTCGATGGTGTAGTTCTAGCAAAGCAACCATAAGGACCATTGCACTCTTTTTTATAGACTGTGACCTGTACCTTTCGTTGAGAGACGTGTAACCAATTCCACATGGTCAGTCCTTAGGATAAATGTCCTCCCCAACAGATAAACGTGCCAATGTTTGCAAGTCTAGACGCAAGCAAGAGCCTCGCATTCGCCAACTGAGTATTGTCGTTCATGCGGTTGCAGAGTGCATGAGGCGAATGCGACAGTTTGCAGTGAAGTTCCATTATGCCGCTGAAGCACCACACCTAAAGCATATTCTGATGCACCTGTCGCAATATACACAGGCAGATGAAGATCGAAGAGATGAAGCACTTCGCAAGATGTCAGCCGGGCTTTCAGTTGCTCCAAACTGCTTTGTGCTACCGCAGTCTAAAGGAAAGGCATATTTCCTCGGAGCAAGGCACGCATTGACTCTACAACGTAAGAAAAAATGGGGAATAAACTCAAAAACATCAATGAACTGCATTCTGTGCTGGGTCTTGCAGGTTTTAAAGTGATGGTGCCTTGGTTATTGCCTCAACTGATGTCACTAGTGGAAGTAATCCTCTAGCATTGACAACTTGACCTAGGAAAGTCAGCTCTGCAACGTCAAAAACACACTTGTGACTAAGCCTAAGGCCCGAATCAGAGAGGCGTTTCAAAACAGCACACAAATTGCACAGATGATTCTCTCGGGAGCGTTCATACATGATTATATTGTCAATGTAAAATAGTAGGCATTTCCAATCATTTTCTAAAATGCAGATCGGGGGCCGACGCCAGTCTGAAGCAAACCCTCTTGATACGGAAGAGTCCATCGTGATTGATATGAAGGTGGTGAACTCGCGGCTCTCTAGACTTAGTGGTGATTGCTGGTATGCAGATGCTAGGTCAAGCTTAAAAAATCGCTGCGTCCCCGCCAAACTGTTCAATAATACTTCAGTTTATGGCAGAGGGAAACTATTCATAACCACAGCTTTGTTTGGTTCCCGTAAATCAACGCACATGCGAATCACGCCATCTTTTTTCCTAGCCACTACAATAGGTGACACCCACTCTGACAAGTCAATGCGCTCAATGGTGCCTGGGCTTCCAATTTTTGTATTTTTGCTGAAACTTGCTCACGAATGACTAGTGGTAGCCGTCTCAGCTTGCTGGCCATTGGCTGCACTGAAGCACGGACACTGACCTTGTGACACAAAACCTTAACTTTTCTAGTTATTTCGAAAATAGGTGCTCTAATTCAGAACGTAACTCTGGAGGTCACGGATGAGGTTCAAACTGGTAGCACATGGGTTGGTGAATCCTCTTCGCCAAAATATGTTACATCGTACATAATGTATGTCATAGCATAAACGGAGACACCATGTTTGTTTGTTTGTTTCCCTGGACTGATTGCTTATACCCACTCAAGGGTATTGGCCAAGAAAGCGTAGTGTAGTTTTTCTGTGATCTTTTAACTATGTGTAATGAATTTGTATTATAATATGACTATCTAATGTAAGGAAAATCAGATAAAAAGAGAGCAAACGAGAAAAATATAGAAAAGTCAAGTTGAGAAATTTTGAGATTTCTGGTGTTGTGAATATCAATCAGCTGCGTTTACTTCACTTTGCCATTTGGAATTTTTTTTTGGGGGGGGAGTACTAAATAATAATTATTTGATTGAAGATCACAAAGGTATACGCTTCGTTGCCTGAATATAATCGCAAACGGCATTGAAAGCATCCCTGTGGCAATGTCCTAAAACTGAGGCACCAAAGCTTAGTGCAGTTTCCGCCGTCAATCTAACGCGTATTTTCAGAAATGGAATAACTAGTAACCTTTTTCGAAGTATAGCGTATCAGCGACAATACAAAAAATAATGTTCTAGTGATTCTATTTCTCCGCAGAATGCGCAGAGGGGTGATGTTGCCTGGCCAGCTCTGTGTATATACAGGTTTGGGGGGGCGGGGGGGGCACGACGTTGAAATTTAGTAATTAAAACTGGGAGCTTTCTGGTCTGGCTCCAGTGGGGTCGTCATGGAAACTTGAGATGGTTATATCCTGTCCATGCAGTTACTTTTTTTTTATCGTATCAGTGGAGATTGCTGATTTTCGATATCTTGTTGCTTTAATATATTCAACATCAGACAGTATGGATAAAACTGGGCCATCAAGTGCGGCTCGTGCTAAGGAATTGGCTAATTCATTTAATCTTAATCCTTATTCCACCTTTTTCTTCCCTTTGGCGGCCGCCGAGCGCGTGCTATTGCACATCGCTGTAGTGTTTACCGACGCCTTATATTACAAAAAGATTGTAGGCCTGGCAACAAGCACTGCTCTTTTTTTCGTTTTGTTTCCTAGATTTAGCCGACGAAGTTGCATTATGGTGTCTTGTCGTTCAATGCAAGAAAACAGAGGGCTAAACCAAGAAGAACTATCGGCTAAGAACAAGGTGAAGGAAACAGAGACCGATATGTGGAGAATTGCCATGATTAAGAAGTCGGCACTAGAGATCTATCGAACTTTTAAGCAGAAAATTGCCAAGGAAAAGATCTATGATAATACTCGGGGTAGTTCTCTACTGTTTGAGGCCAGGACAGGAGTATTGCAAACCAATTAAGACATATCGGGCTAAAAGCGAAGGGGTAGACACGGTATGCAGTGCATGCGGAGAGGAGGAGGAAACTGCTGAAGACTTGATAATGTTCTGTAAAGAGCTTCACCGTATAGTTCAGGATGATGGCGCAGAGTTTTTCAAAGTATGGGGTTTAGGGACAGGGAGGGCAAAAAAGACTTTAAGCGGGTAGAATTAACTAGAAGAAGGTTATCCGATTGGTGGCTAAAGTCAAGGCACGGGTGAAAATTAAACCATTCACTGCAAAGTACCAGTCCTATACTTCACTATTTAAAGGAGATAAAAAAGATAAATCTAGTTGTTACTAAGTAAACGGCTAGGTGGCGCTAGCCGCCACCCGATCTAAAGGGTACAACCACATCAATCCATCGAGAACTCACGCTCGACAGCAACTAAACAAACTTCTCTCTTGAAACTTGGAGCAGCCTCCTGTATTCTTCGGTTTCGCTAACAAAAGCTCACGGTACAGTTGGTGTTGCATACCCAGATGCTTGTTAGTGATGTATTCCTTTTGCCAACAACGTCTTTTTGCAAGATAGAAGAGCGCATTATTATCTTATTCTGATAATGCAGCAGCCACTGCAGCTCGTCGCTTCCACCTTCAACTTAACAGAAACTCTGCGCCATAGATAGAAACATAAAAATCTTCAATATTTTGCTAGCAATAAATGTGTTTTCACAGACTAACACTGCACTGCTCGCGCTATCTAGAGAAAAAAGAAACAAGCAAGCATTCGCACAATATTATGACCTTCAAGATTTGGTAGCTATCGCAGATCACCGAGCTCATGTTCTGCCAATAGAGGCAGTCGCAAAGCCTACAGTTTTTAGAAAACGAGTACGGCGCTCAGAAACAGTACCACATTGTCATGAATACGTTGCCCGCGAAGCTTGAGGACACAAACCTAAAGCCGACACAATCGTCAGTTTAGGACTAACAGCCCACGCAATGTGCGACGAAGCGCTTAATGAATCGAAGCGGGCAGCTCTCGCTTCAGACAGTGCCGACATTTTTTTTGTTGTTGTTGTTCTCCAATGCATCTGTCTATTCGCCTCGTCCATTTAGATGTGCTTCGCAGCCGGACAGCAGGCGGAGCAATCGTCCGCGAAAGATAGTTTTGCGGATAAGTCCGGCGTGTGAATACACACTTCAAACGCTCGCGTACTCTTCTGCAACGCTTCTTGCGTTTCACCTTGGACGCTGGATAAAGGCATTGGGAGAGTTACCCAGAGAAGCCGGCGAATGTGTTCGTTGTAGGCTTGCGCACAATTGCAACGCCAGAACGAAATTTCCCGCGGCATGTCATGGGGTAACTGTTCTTCGCTTCAACACAACGCAGAGATACACAGCGAAACTCGTTCTTTTCGGCCAGTAAAGCCACGGCCGTGGTAAAGCTTTCGCTTTAAAAGTACGCATGCGATATACGAAACACATCGTGACGTATCAAAACTTGAGTACTCACTTTCTGAAGCTGGCTCGGTCGTTTGCTATGAACTGTGACAACAGAAGGTCCAGCCTTACTCGCAAGGTGCGTGCACTAAACGCTTTTCCCAGAGCAAAATTCATGCTCTTCACAATGCCTGCCCACTGCGAGGGATGTTGAAATGGGTTTTGCGCGTTTATGCCAAATCATACGAAGTGCCAAATCATACGTGATGGAAAAGTACAGCCGGCCGGTGCTCGCCTAGATGCCGCCATTTTGTGAAACGAAGTCTTTTGCTGTCGCGAACGTGTTAGAGCGGCGCGACCACCTCATATGTATGCACGCATCGCATGCACGTAACGCGATACGTGCGTGTTGTGGTCTGCGCATGCGCACAACGTGGTGTCCTTACGTACGCAACGCCACCACGTGCGATACGTACGCAGTACTAAAGCTTTCTATTATGGTGTTACATTACAGCTTATAGTTTCATTACTGCTTTGTGGTCCCAGTGTAACTTCTCAGTCAGTAGCCACCTGTGGTGCCTCGAGTTGCCTACAAAAGCTCACCTCAGCTGAGAAGTACTTTCAAATTGAGCGAGAAGCTTTAGCCCTAGTGTTTGGCATGACAGTGTTCCGCTATTACCTTTTAGGGCAGTAGTTCACGCTTGTAACGGATCGGTCCTTTGCTAGGGCAACTGAGACCGAACCGTCAAACTTCCATCATCCATGGCTGCCGCCCGCAATCAGCGGGTGCCGCTTTTGCTCGTAGTATGTACGAACTAAAGTATATTTCAAAACCCAGCGATCATTTCAGTCACTGATGACCTAAGCCACTTGCCGGTGTTATTGCAGGGGCCGGAAGCGGAAACGAAAGAGCTGGCGGAAATTGTGGTTCTCGCTGTCCTGTGGGAGCGAGCCGGTGCTTTCTCATAAACTTCAAGTACTCACAGTAGCGGATAGTGGTGTTTTGCAAGCAGTATGCAGATACGTGACTGAAGGACTGCCCTCCGTCACAGGCGACAACAGAGAAGTGGCAGAATACCGGAATGGGTTGGCCACCAGGAGGAAGGATCTGAAGGTATAGTGAACTAGAGGCGGCGTGGCCTGGCGGTCGTGCCACTAGAGAGTGGCACGACCGCCAGGCCACGCCGCCTCTCTTGGCGGTCGGAAATACCACGGACCGCCGCTGGGGTTTCTCGTGGCGCTACTGCACCTTTTCCTAGGCGAGGCGCGGTCACTTGGTGATTCAGCGCGTTAGTTCAGCACGTCTGCCGGTATCCTGCGCATCGCTTTGTCTGCAGCTACTGTACTGCACGTGTACCGGTATACTCTGCTCTGCATTTTCTCGCACGGACCGTTGTGGAGCAGCTGTCTTTACCTGTTCAGCGGAGTGTGTTACCTGTCGAAGCGGAGGACGGATTCACACTGTTTTGCTCCGGGTTGCTGAAGCGGCTACCCGGGCGCCCCGAAGGCATCGTTGTTTGCACCTCCTAGAGAAGACGATCTCCGCAGAAAGTGGGAGCGTAACCTCCGGAGGGATGACAAGCCTCTGACCGAAACATCAGCGGTGTGCGAACATCACTTCGAGCCAAGATATATTCTGCGCGAATATGTGCACGTGATAAATGGCTGTGAAGTGCGTACTCCCCGAGGAAAACCGTCATTGGTGCCTGATGCCGTGCCAACGCTTTTGCCAGGTTGTCCAGCGTACCTTTCCGTCGCTGCGCCCAAGCAAAGACCCGAGAGAAGTAAAGCAGCCAAACCTCCTGAAGGCGCAAGCAGAAAACGGCGCAGGCCTGATGCACCTGACGAAGTGTGCGACGGCGGTGAAATGGAAGGCAAGGACTTTAATGCTGCCACTAGTGCGCGACTTTCAATTGAAGCTATTCGCACACTTGGAAGTTCCTGCAAACTACTGGTGTCGTATAGAAGCAGTTGGCCACTGCGATCTAATATTTGTGACGACAGTGATAAGCAAGCGTACAAAACTGGATATTTTTCATGAAAAAGCTGTGTGCTTTATGTCCACAGAAGGAAAAATTGTAGCCCAAGTCTTCTATCAAGGTGTTTTGTGTCAAGAGAAACCCGTGCAATCCCTTTCTGAGGCCACATCCGTATTGCAAGAAGCTCGAGAAAGCCCTGTCTGCAAGGGAGCAATGTGTAAACAAGAATTCAAGCCGCTTTCCTCTCGGCTAACCGCACATCATCGAGCTGAAGCAAACACTGCTGGACGATCCGTGATCAGCATACGCTGCTTCGGAAAAGTTTCTTCTGAAGGTAAGTAGACGTAAAGTGCATTAGGATGCCCATAACATTACCACATTGCCTCAGGTATTGAGGGTTATTATGTTATTAGTGCGTGTGGTAAATATGAATATATATATATATATATATATATATTCTTGGCCAAACTATGTATATACAAACCGCTGAGCCACGCAATAACTAACCTAGCAATTTTACGTTTGCATGAGCCAGGAAGCAAACACGCGCGTTAGAATTGACCATAGCTGCAACTCGGAAGGAGCCAGCGACGGCCGGTCAACGCAGCCGAAGCTCCTAGGAAATGGAGCAGTGGCGCCACCTCGCGCCATCCGTGTGAAAGGCTGGCGCCAGAGCCTGGCCGGTTGCACCACTAGAGTACTTCTAGTTCACTATACTGAAGGAATGCAGCATAGATGTCGGGCCAAATAGCTCCCCTCGGTGCATGCGCAATTGAACTCTTGCCTTCTTTCTTTTTGCTACCCGTATATCTCTGAACTGTAAATAAATGGTTGCTTTTGCCGTATGACATCGACTGGTTATCATGCCTTAGCTGTCAGCCTCTGGCCGGCGGAAGTTGACACATGGTGTCATCGTGACGTCATTTTGTTGACTGTCGCGGTGTCAAACGCTGTATTGCCAACCAGCCATGGTGGTCAAGTAATCCGTTCAGCTGCGGGTCGTAAGATCGCAGCTTTGATACTGTGTTGTGGCAGACGTGGCCCACAAAACGCTTGTGTTCCTGTTCAAGGAGTGCCGAATCCCACATTTTGACCTCGCTAGCTCATTGCGTTGCTGTGGGTGAAACAAATTTATATCGCCATGTGACTGGAACAGCATACGGGAGCTAAACTTTGGAATGAGTGTATTTATTTATTTATTCGTAGTACACTCAGGATGTAAATACATTACAGAGGTGATGGTGTGCACATAGTAAAAAAGGACAAAAAATATATAAATAATGGTAAATAATTAAATGGAAGCATTATACAGAACTACGAAAATTTCATCAAGCACATTGGAGGACATCTATCGAAGTAGTTAAAACCAGTGTAAAAAACAATCGTGTAACGTTATTGTAGGCTTGATAGGACATTTTAAAATACAGTTGTATTAGTTACATCCATTGATCTCCTGCTGTCCTGGGAACAAATGCGTTAGCGCCTGCTGTAGTTGGAAAGTATGTTATAGTAACCTTACGGTGGTGATAAAGTTGGTGTGGGCAAAATGGAGCTGACTTTACGAACAAGAAACAAAGTGTGGGGTTATCGTAATACACTGTGACGAAGACGAATGCGCGATTGCTTTCTACGGGTTGCTAGAGATGGAAGATGAAGAGCAGCTTTCATATTTGTGACACTGGCGTTGCGATTATAATTGCATGCAATAAAGCAAGCATAGCAATTTTGCACTGCCTCATTGCTTTGTTTTAATGTAGAGCTATGTGGGTCCCAGACAGATAAGCGGTATTCTAGCTGAGGACAGATGAATAAAGCAAAAATTTTTGTGATTGTGGGGCAAGATAGAAGTTTATTTTCAAGTAACATAAAGTTTGCTTCTCTCTAGCTATTATGTAATGAACGTGATGTTTCCATGGTAAGTTACTAGAAATGTGGACACAAAGGTAGCGATAAGACGCGGTAGATCCCAATGGAATATTGTTAAAAGAATAAAACGGAGGAGTAGCATTGCGCCGGGGTATGAGCATGCTTTTTCACTTAGCAACATTTAGCTCCATGTGCCACGTGTGGCACCACTGTGTTATATCTGGATCATTTTGTAATGATGTCACATCTGAATCACTGGTAATTTTTTGGCAAATGACACTATTATCTGCAAATAAACAAGCTTGGGAAGAAATGTTAGCAGGTAAGTCGTTTATATAAATCAAGAATAACAGAGGGCCAAGGACTGACCCTCGGGGTACACCAGAACCAACTGGGGCCAACGAAGAGTCAAAACCTTTGGCTGTAACGTAGTACACACGGCAGGAAAGAAATTCTCGAATCCGAGTGACTACTTAGGGGTCAATACTAAAAGCATTTAGTTTTTGTAAAAGTAATGAGTGATTAACTTCGTTGAAAGCTTTGGCAAATTCTAAAAAAGCGCAATCTACAATGAAACCATTGAATAACAACTAAGGAGTTCCTAGACCTAAACTTCCTAGATTTGTTTCATGCTGACAACCAGTGAAGCTCCATCGACTAATCTCATTGGCTAACGCTTCTTTTCGGCAGCCATGTCCTTCTTCGACGCTTTGCCAGCACCTGGTAAAACGAGGCCCCCGCTCAGTAACGATGAGGCTGACTCTATTGAACCGCCAATATTGTGAGAAATCCATGGTATGTTTCTCGTGGACATTGTAAAAGTCTCTTAGATATCCATACAAATCCAAATTATGAAGATTAGATGTAGCCGCAACAACGGCCGCCTGGATCGGGTGCGCGCAACACCGCCACGCGCGCCCGATCCAGGCGGCCGTGCCGCAACTATGAAAAACTTGGCCGAGTAAGGTTGCAGGTACGTTGCACATGGACACTGAATGAACATTCAATAGATATACACAAACGTTTTCATTTAATAAGTAAAAGGGTTTTCATGCACTTCACACTTCCCGCATGTAGTTGGTGTATCCGCCGCATCCGGGATGCGAGCCCGCGACCTGCGGGTCAGCAGCCTAGTACCTTAGCCACTAGACCACCGGGTCGAGGCTGGTCGGATTGATGTTAGACGACAAATTTAAGGCCAGCCTTGCGGTGTTGATGCTTTCTGTAAATTTAGCACATGAGCTAAGTGGCAGACTGCAGTGGGAATGCGGGGCTGGGAATAAGTCTGCTTCTGTTGAGCTTCCTTTATTTCCTCCTCTCTTCCTTTTCTTTTTCAGTTTTTTCTGTCATCATGTCTCTTCTATTTTTTAATCTGTTTCCTTTGCCCTTTCTATATTTTTTCATCTCTTTCTATTTTTCACTTGCTTCATCTTTTCTATCTTATGTGGCTTAGCTTGCGTTACGCCAAGCGACGACGGCCTAGGCCACTAATTAAAGTGCTTCACTCTTGAAAGCAGCTTTAGGATATGATCTCGCGCTATCATGTATAGCAGCACCTCGCGCATGTAAGTTTAAGCATTAGGCACGCTCAAACGTTACATGTCCATTTATGTTCGAGGACATTCTAGATTTTACGCGCCAGTTATATATTTATCATTCTAAACATCAACTAAAGTGGTCTTGGAAGACATAAAGTTATGCGATGCATTTGAAGTCAAGAGCACGTATTGCGACGTCTAAGTTTTGTCTAAGAGACAAGTGCACACGATGTTAATAATACTTAGGCTCTCTAGAATGTAAGGACGGCACATAATAAATATGTCTATTAGATGTTATCGATAGACGTATGAATCTTATCTCTATGTTGACAGAATATCAGTGGTTCACTGGAACGGCGGCAGATGCCGGCTGTGCGAGAGATAAGGCCGGGCGATAAGGCAGTTATCGGTACTTAAGTAAACAAGGGGAAAATCCAGTAGCTTTACCTGGACTGAGCTTCGAAAAGGGAAGCCCGGATGGTCAATAGAGAGTTATAGTTTAAGGTTGACGTGATAGCGGAGGTTAAGGGAATGGAGTTACCGTGCAGCAAACGTTTGTTGTGAACAGCGTCTTATAGTTTAGCGGGATAGCGTTTACGTGCATGGTTTACGTGCCCCAACTGGGACGATGGTGCCACTTATCAAATGGTTAATAAGTTAAAGACAGTGAAAAGGAAAATAAAACGAGAGTGTTTGCCTATGCCACTGCGTGATACAATGTCACAAGTTTATTTTACCAATAATAAAAGCAAATATCAACCACGCACTAAACGCCAAAAAATTATGTTGCCGATTTCTTTACATCAATCTTGTAATTAGGCTTAGACGCGTTCGAAATGTGAAGCTATCTCAAAAAGTAAGCCAACTTATCCGTAATACTCGGTCATCGAAGCTAACTGAAGGCAAGCGAAGTCACTTTACACAGTCGTTTGCTACGAACAAGGTGAATCTTTCCACAACTGCGCCAAAATCACTTCGAAGCGGGCGTCCGAGAGCGCCGCCATGTTTACGTACACTACGTACACCTATGCTACCACGGTAACGTGAAATCTGAAAGATACCGCGCGTACGGGAAGCGGTACGGGTGACGTACGTATCTGCGCATGCGCACTTCGATTCCGGTATCACGGTACGCCCGGTATCCCGGTAAGCCCGGTATACTACAACTCTTCAATAACGCTTGTGACATAGTGGTAGTGTTGCGGACCGGAGTCTATCCGACGCGTCCTCGCTGACGTGGGCTGCCGAAACGTCAGGGCTTATGTCGGACCCGGTCTCTTGTGGTAGCGTGGCTCAACTTCGGGTGGAGGAAACGAATGCTGACAAGATGTGGAATCGAAAAACAAAGAATATTTGCACTTATTTATAGCGTAGAGGTTAGGAGTTCCGCAAACCACGAGCGTGGTGGATGAACCGTCAAATCATGGTTCAGAGCAACGTCCAGCACTTTCAAGCGTCGTTTGAAGCCCTGTCGGGCTCCTCCTCCTTGACTGAAGCACCAATCACGCACAAGATGCCGCTCTCCAGAGCATCAGTCAATGCACACGGTCGCCGAATAAGGGTCGCATCTCCTGACGCAATGTTCCCCTGGTCCGAGTTTCACTGAGGAGAAGGACAATTGGTTCCTTTCTGGAACAAGTTGGTGGTTGGGTTAGCGCTGCTGTCTTTCCCTGGGAGGGCAGCCAAGGAGTAGATTTGAATTGATTAGACATAACCGGCGCTGTCGGGCTGCCTCGCCGCCTCCCCAAACAAGCCATCTTGGAGGAAATGCTTGTAGGTACGTTGACTCACGCACAGTCGAAGTCGAAACATTCTAATCCTTTTGTCGCTTCCTGCCGCTGGACGCTCGCTCCGAGAGAACTGGGGTTTCGGGTGTGGGAACGTTGCCCGGCCATGCTTCTCATGGCCAGCATGGCGCCCATGGACGAAGGTCACAACAGTAGGTACTCTGATATGTGTCGGTTTAGGAATTGTGCGCTGCTTCACTAATGTGGTGCAGGGGCAAAATGCCTCTTTCTCACTCAGTCCAAAAGAATTTTATTAGTTGCTCATGTGCAGCTGTACTTTTTTGCCTTTGTTTCTGTGATTCAGCTTCAATTGCAACGTATTCCAGCAAAAGGTAACGCAAAATGTAAAACAATGTTTGACAGCAAGTGGATTTGCAGCGCCACCGCCCGGATTCAATAAAAACGTTAAGTACGACCGGAGTTTATCGAACAATTGGGTCGGCCTAGTGTGCTCAATACCATATCGATACGCGGCTCCCAATCCCCGACCGCTGGCCTGCTTGAAAAAAGAGAAACTAAAATTAAACGATATTCGCTTGGCTGAAACCGCGCTTAGCCGAATACAGCCAAAGCAGTGATGGTCTGTCTGATATTTCAGTGTTGCTTCTGACACTAAGCAAAGAAAAAGAAGATATTTGGTTAGTACCTTCATTATAG